TATATATAGTATATAAATCGAATATAGCTCATATATCTTTATTACTATTTTTTTTCTCTAACTTCTATATAAAAAAAAATAGAAAGTTTCTGTTGGGCCCACTAGGCCCATTTGGGCCCGTTTAGGCCCACTTAGGGCCGGGACCGACCCACTTAACCCGGGATCGTTAGTTCGTGGTCCCGGTCCCGAGCCGGTTCCAGCAATAAGCCCGCGAAGCCCGGGACCGTTTAGGACCGGACCGCATAGGATCGGCCCACTTAGGACCGGGCCCGCGAAGCCCACTTAGGACCGGGACCGGTCCACTTGTCACCCTTAGAGGTAACACTTCTAAACTTGGTTCTGAGGGTATAAATCCCTAAATTTCGTGTTATGTGAATTGTATGGAGTTGGCGCACATGCTAGGTGATGGGCGTGTGGATGTGCACCATAGAAATTGTGACTTAAATAAATTCCGTGGAGTTGTATAATTAAAGAATCATGTCACCATTCATATATCCTCCACGTGTTAGAGGAAATTAAGCTGAGATTCATGTTGAAGATCATGTTTAGGTTACTTCTTCTTCGATATCCATATATTTTCTATATGGTTCAAACAAACATAAGAAATAGCGGGTTCGGTGTCGATATTTTGGGACCCAATGGGTCATGTTGCTGTTGAATCATTTATTTGAATTGTAATGTTTTTGTACTCAGTCACATTCATCATTTGCATATCATATCTCAGTCTCTGTTGTCATTCATTGATACATCATATCATCATGTCGGGTTGACTTTTATGTCATTTAGAGCCCGAGAGACTGGAGATTTTGAGCGATATTATATGGGATCGGGTTGCACGCCACATTATTGCCCGAGAGACGGAGATTTTGAGCGATATTATATGGGATCGGGTTGCACGCCACATCATGTTTTATTTATTTATGCCTGGAACTGGCTGTTATAGTGCTTGCACTGAAGGATCCCCTACGGAGTCTGTACCCCCCACAATGAGAGCGGTTCATTTATACCTAGGGATGGATCTTCCCCTAGGCTGGATTGGCCTTATACAGTACTGATTGACTGATTATCATTTGATGTGTATATATACGGGGTAGATCTTCCCTAGTCTGGATTGGCCATATACTGTACTGAGTGATTGAGTATTTTGAGATTGTGAGTGCATGAGATTTTTCATAAAGGTGTATCACATACAACATGTACATTGGCATATAGATATAGAGATGTCACATTCCTCATATCATTCAGAATTTATTTATTTTATTTGTACTGAGTTTAACTGTTGAACTTGATAGCATGCCTACATTTCTGTACAGTTATTTCTATATTGGACTATGCCTGTGGAGCTCGTCAATACTTTCAGTTCAAAGGTTAATCTTGTTACTTATTAAGTACATGGGGTCTGTTGTACTCATACTACACTCTGCACTTCGTGTGCATATCCAGGTACTTCTGGACACGGTGGTTGGTAGATATTTTGGGATATTATCTGTTGGAGACTATCGAGGTAGCTGTTTGACGTCCATATACCTTGACTCTATTTCCTTTCAAGTTATTTGTACTGTCCTACATTTTCAGACAGTGTTTGTATTAGTCAGACTATGTTATCATTTAGATGCTCATGTACTTAGTGACACCAGATTTTGAGAGTGTATTTTACATCAGTATGTGTGGGGGTTTTCTATTAAATTTATATTTTATGTTTTCAAACTTAAAAGTATTGAGATAGGCGCCATCACGATATGCGGATTTAGAGTTGTGACAGACGATCGTTGAGATCAAAATGATTGGATATCGTCAAGACGATTATTGTTTTTGCAACGTGCATCTACTAGGAAATGTGTGTTGGGAATACTAAAATATGTGTCGCACACACCAAAAATATTTAACTTATCAAAGTGTTAGGAGTACCCATTCATCCTTTGAAAGGTGAAAGGTGCATGAATTATTAGAGTTAAATCATTCCTCCTAAATTATGGCAAGAATATGAAACGGGCTTCGTACTTTATTGTCTAAGAATCTAAATTTATACGGTAATAAATAAATATTCAAACTCAAATACATTTCTTTGTGAAAGCACACATCTATTTACATTAGTTTTGTCTTGTGTAAAACAACATCTATTCACTCCTCAAATCAAATTTATTTTCTTTCTCATTCATATGGCTCTTATGACACAAAGATGCGCAGTAGTTATTCCCCTTTTAAGCATCCAAATAATTATTTTTGGATAATTTTTTCAATTGAACTTATTTTCTGTTGTTTGATGTGAACAAATGCAGCACACCGCGGGAATGAACAGGACGACCAACCAGATCCTCTGGCTTCAGGTAAAACTCACAATGTCTGACAATGCAGGTGTGGTTATGTCCAATCCTACTCTCAAATTGAAAATAATACGGTGGATTTAAATAATAAGCTCAATAAGGTTGGGGTCGATCCCATGAGGAGTATGGTGTGTGCTAGAATGTCAAAGAGTGCGTGAATTCAATGAACTTAAAGTAATCTTCAAATAAAAGATTTACTTTTTGCAGTTACTTCTAAAGTTATGACTACGAAATTTATCAAACACTTGGAATATGAAAATAATTAGAGAGTAGTAATTAATGAGAGAAAGCACTAAGGTTGTTCATCCTTCGTGTATGCTATGCTACGCTATGGGTATAGATGTATTCGATTCCAATCAATCAAACATGTGTTATGACAACAATATCAATAATACCAATTTAGTATTTTCCAATACTAAGAGGGTTTTACTCACAAATGCTTTTCCAAGCTATTTAGAGCTTTATGCAATACAATTGTTCATGCTCAATTAAGAATCTCCCTATTCCTAGTTTGATTCCATTAATTGAGATGGGATTAATTCCTTATTCTACCCAATTCCTTGATAATTGCTGTAAAATTAAACTCGGTTCCACTTTTTCAAGTTAGAACTAAGTGTGATAGGCGTAAATCTAGTGTTTGTAACCACCAAATTATGCAATAAAGCATGGAGCAATTAGATAACACAATATTTAATCAAAGACGAATCTATATTAATAACCCATAGTTATAACACCACTCACAACCCTAGCTAATGAGTTTAGCTAGACATGACAATAGAAACAATAATCAAATTATCCTTAATCCAGTCATTGATGCTAATACAGAAGAAAAGGATTGAGAAACAGTGATGTTTTGAGAAACCATGATGTCACTTGTTAACCCTTAGGAAAACTCACAGCCGCTCGTACAATATTCTTCTCTATCAAAGTTTTCAAAAAAACCTAAAAAGCTGACAAAATTATCCTCGTCGGGTCTTGCGTGGCAAAGTTGCATGGCCCACGCAGGATGCGTGGCCCAGTACTCTATTTCTTCAGCTCTCAGTACATGGTCAAGATGCGTGGCCCACCCAGGATGCATGGCCACTTCCAGAACTTAAACTTTCAGCCTCCAAGTTCTCCAACTGTGTAGGTGACCTGCGTGGGTGACTTGCGTGGCCCACGCAGGATGGACTTTTGCTTCTTTAGTTTTCTTCTTCAGTTTTGGACTGAATTTGATACTTTTCTTGCAGGTATTTGATGATTTTCAATCTCTTAATTCTTACGCAACTCCATGACCTGCAATCATATCATTCAAAACATAATTAGTGCATTAATCACATCAACTGGGACATAACTCTATTAAAAGGCATAAGAGAAGTTGGGAAAAATACCAACTTATCAAGGTGACAACGTCCTTGCCGCCGTGCTGAAAAGAATGGAGGAAATGGAAAACGAAAATAAGGCGCTCAGAGACCAAATGAAAGAGCACCAGGAATGGGTAGACAAAATACCTGGCGCCCCTAAATTGCTGCCAAAAAGGGACGCCAGTAGGTTCTTAGAACAGCATATAGTGAGGAAGCGGCTCTGCATGCCATACCAAAGACCTTCAAGATGCCCCCATATCTCAGAATCTACGAAGGAATGACCAACCCCGAAGATCATGTGACTCACTACGTTACCGTTGTGAAAGACAATGACCTCACCAAAGAACAAGTGTCCTCCATCTTGCTAAAACAATTTGGCGAAACCCTCACTGGACGGGCATTGACATGGTATTCACAGTTACTAGCCCATTCTATAGAAACGTTCGAAGAGCTGGCCGATAAGTTCGTTACGGCACATGTTGGGGCCAAGAAAGCTGAAACAAGAGTAAAAGACATCTTCCCCATTAAGCAATACCCAGGAAAGGGACTGAGTAACTTCCTTGCCCAGTTCAACAGGGTGAGGATGACCTTACCAAATATTTCCGAAGGAATGGCCGTCGCAGCCTTTCAGAATGGGTTGAGCATAGATGGTTCGAGGATAACCAGAAAGCTATTAAGTCGGTTAATGAAGTATCCTCCGGCCAGTTGGGATGAAATCAACAATGCCTACTGTGTCGAGGTTAGAGTAGATGACGACGACCTCAATGGACTAACTCGACGACTCACCTCAGTACAATATTAGCCCGGGAAAGAACACAGGGATAATACGAGAAGAGACCACCCGGTATTGTGTCTAGGCAGGGAACGACACCAACCCTATGTTAGGACACATGTTCCCTCTTTTCATTGTGAAGATGGCCAGTCTAGGCCGAGATGAGGAACTCACAGGAACGACAGGGGTATGCCCCCTTTATTATCTGCTCATAATTTTTGTGTTCACCTACAAAGGTGGTTTAAGCTCTTGAAAAGCTCATAACTAAGGTAAAATGGCCACCTAAGATAAGGTACGACCAAGCACCTGGAAATGCGACACCCTTTGCTAGTTCCACCAAGAATGTGGACACAAAACAGAAGACTACATCGCCCTAAGACTAGAGGTAGTGAACTTACTGCAGCAAGGACACCTCAAAGAACTACACATCGACAAGGGCAGGAACATCTTAGCAAGGGGTCGAGAACGTCTAGGCCCGCCAAAGCCCCATTCACCAGCTCGTACCATCAATATGATTATTGGTGGCAGTGATAAAGCCTCTATCAACGGCATCAAGTTCACCGCCACCCACAAGCTCAAAAGATCGATCACCCACAAACGGTATGACGGACTCCAAGAGAGTATCATCTTCGATGAGTCAGATGCCGACGATTTGACTTTCCCTCACAATAATGCACTTGTCATCACTTTACAAATTTTAGATGCTGATGTTAAAAGAATTATGGTAGATGACGGAAGTGGAGCGTGCATCATCCATCCCCAAGTCCTCACACAGATGAGACTCGAGGATAAGATATTGCCACGTTGCATCATACTAATCGGTTTTAACAATGAAGTTGAACGGACTTCGGGTGAAATTACACTCCCCGTTCTCACTGTTGGAGTAACTGTAGAGACAGCATTCTACATCATGGACTAGGACACCGCATACAATGCCATCGTGGGACGACCATGGATACACCCCTTGAGAGACGTCCCCTCCATCTTGTACCAAGTGATCAAATTCCCAACACTTTGGGGAATATTCAGGATACGAAGGGAACAACGCACATTCCGTGAATGCTACCGAATTGCCATGGATAGCACGACAACTCAACAAAAGAAAGATAAGGAAAAAGAAGCATAACAATCAGCAGGGTTGAGGTCACCATAAGGTGAAGCCAAAGAAGTCTGTTATGGACCGCGAGATGGTCAAAGCCGCATAATTGACCATAGAAGACCTCGACCATGTCCAATTAGATCATAGCGACCTCAGTAAAAAGGCCTACATCGGCTGCAAACTCTGGGAACTAGGTAAATTTAGTTAATTCTTAATAACTAACGTAGATTTTTTTGCCTTTAGTCATGCAGATATGCCAGGCATCCCCAAAGAGATCTCCACACACAAATTAAACGTCGACCCCTTCTACCCCCTAGTAAGGAAGGTCTGATGAAAGTTCAACCCCACCATCAATGAGGTCATCTACGAGGAAGTAGAAAATTTATTGGCAAATGGCTCTATCATGGAATCGAAGTACCCCCAAATGGATTGCCAATGTAGTGATGGTCAAAAAGAAAAATGGGAAATGGAGGATGTGTGTGGACTTCACAGACCTAAAAAAAGCATGCCCAAAAGATTTATTCTTGTTTCCACATATCGACCAGCTCATCGATGCAACGGTAGGGAATGAGTTGTTAAGTTTTTCTGGACGCATACTCACGTTACAAACAAATACTTATGGAGGAATAAGACCAAGAGAAAACTGCGTTCATCACCCACAGGGGCATATATTGTTATAGTGTCATGCCATTTGGATTTAAGAACGCATGGGCTACCTATCAAAGGTTAGTCACAAAAATGTTCAAAGATCAACTCGGCAAAACCATGGAGGTATAAATCGACGACATGTTGGTCAAATCCGTGAAGGCAGAGGATCACATCGACTACCTAAAGGAAGCTTTCGACATACTATGACAATACGAAATAAAACAAAACCCTGAGAAATGTGTATTTGGCGTAGCTTCGGGAAACTTTTTGGGGTTTTTAGTATCGCAGCAAGGAATTGAAATCAACCCAGATCAAATTAAGGATATCGATGGGATACCTGAGCAATTGACCACTAAGAAGCAAGTCCAAAGATTGACCGATCAAATTACCTCTCTATCCAGATTCATCCTGCGATCGTCCCAAGGGTAACGACCTCGAGTGGACGCCCAAGTGTGTACAAGCACTAAAAGAATTGAAGGAGTATTTGTCATTACCACCCTTGATCTCAAAGTCCGAGCCCAGGGAGCACCTTTTCATCTACATATCCGTATCCGAAGTAGTAGTAAGTGTGGTCCTGATTCGAGAAAATAAAGGTACGCAATCTCCTATTTATTATATCAGCAAAACACTTGTCGATGCCGAGATGAGGTACCCACACCTCGAGAAATTATCCCTGGCCCTGGTCGTAGCTTCACAAAAGCTTAGACCCTATTTTCAGTGCAACCCTATCTCGGTCGTCACCATTTTTCCTTTAAGAAGAATTTTACATAAACCCGAGCCGTCGGGGAGGCTGGCCAAATGGGCCATCGAGCTAAGTGAGCACACAACATCACATATCAGCCTCGATCAACAATAAAGTCACAAGTGCTCGTTGACTTCGTTGCAGACTTTAGCGCAAAATTAATGCCTAAGGCCGAGAAGGAAGCCGCTCAGGCTTCTCTTCAAACACAGGACCTTTGTGTTCTATACACCGATGGCGCATCCAATGCTTCCGGGTCCAGACTAAGACTCGTACTTAAGGTCCCCACTGGTGAAGTAATTCGCCAATCCATAAGGTACCTAGATATGACTAACAACGACAACGAGTATGAGGCCGTAATTCTAGGGTTAAGACTAGCACTAAAATATAGGGAGAATCAGCTGAAACGCTGTTGCAATTCTCAGCTCGTAGTCAACCAAGTCACATGGACATTCCAAATCAAAGAACAAAGGTTGCAAAAGTATCAAACCGAGATCTGCAAATTGCTACCCAATTTCAACGAATGTTAGCTCGACCAAATCCCACGAACTCAAAACATCAAAGCAGACAACCTCGCCAAATTGGCCGCTGCCACCAAAAGCATAACGGCCGGGGATAAGAGCGTAGTCCATCTCCTCAACTCATTATTAGACCAAATCGAGGTAAAATCAGTAATGGGACTGGTGCAATTGTATTATTACATATTTGCAGGACGACATCCTCCCAAACGACAAAAAAGAAAGCTAAAAAGCTAAGAATGCAAGCCTCTAGATATAACGTCCTCCACAATGACTTATACAAAAGAATGTATGACAGTCCCTTGGAAAAATGCTTAGGTCCAAATCAAACCCAACACGTTCTCGAAGAAGTCCATAAGGTCATTGCATCACTCATTCTGGTGATCGAGCACTCGTCAGGTGCCTCATACGAGTCGGGTGTTATTGGCCCACCATGAAGAAAGACGCCTCAGAATTTGTGAAAATGTGTGAACAGTGTCAAAAGTATGCCCCAATAATCCACCAAGTACGCGAACACCTCCATTCAATCCCCTCACCATGGCCATTTATTAAGTGGGGAATGGACATCGTGGGTCCACTTTCGCCGGGACGAGGTAATGTAATATTTCTTTTAGCTTTAATTAATTATTTCTCTAAATAGGTGGAAGCAGGTGCATTCTCCCAAGTTCATGAGCATGAAGTAATCTCTTTCATATGGAAAAATATCATCTGCTGATTCGATCTACCTAAAGAAATAAGTTGTGACAATGGGCCGCAATTCACGAGAAGAAGAACCACCGAGTTCTTCAAAAAATGGCATATTAAAAAGAATTCTTTCAACTCCTTACCACCTAGATGGAAACAGACAAGCAGAATCCTCCAATAAGTCAATACTAAACATCATGAAGAAGAAACTTGAACAGGCAAAGGGACTATGGCCAGAAATACTCCTAGAAGTATTATGAACGAACAGAACTACCCCGAAAACGAGCACATGATAGACACCTTACTCCCTAGTCTACTGAACAAAAGTAGTTATACAAGTTGAAGTCAGAGAACCCAGCGTGAGGTACTCCGATAAAAGCGACACCAACAATGACGAGAATAGGAGACAAGATCTTGACGAGGTTGAAGAGTGACGAGACATGGCGTACATAAGAATGATCGCTCAAAAACA